GGGCTTTACATGAACACATGAAACAAGTGATAAGAGATGCTTAGTAGTACTGTTTCCCAGCTTTTCTACCATGTTTTTGCCTTTCAGAATAGTCCCATATCATTCACCATGCACTCATCTGACCTCAGTCAGATACTCTTTAGTGTAAGAGAACAAGTGGTTCGTTTCTCAGAGAAACAATAAAACAATCAAGATTGTACATGTTATCCTTGAAATCTTCAAAAGAAATAGAGAGGATGAAAAATGGTTGTCTAGTGTAAAATCAATAGGAGCTGTGGAGAAACAACGTGACAGTTAAAAGGCCATTTACTTCACTTCTTGTGACTTTTCAGCAAAAGATCAGAAGAGCTGAACTAAAGGTCAGGCCAATGTTTTCAACATAAAGGGACCCAAACTCTCCACAACAGCATATTCTTCACTTTTATATTTAGTCTGCAGAGTAGGACACTGGTTCTTTTTGTAACACATTGTAGGTTCCAGATTGTATGCTGGAATTATGCAGGATTAGAGCTCAGGTTAAAATCAGATCTTGCTGAATGGCAGTGTGGGCTCAAGAGGCCAAGTGGCTTACTCTTGTTCCTTATTTGAATGTTAGAAATAGTAGGAGTCTACAGTATGGGAGCCAACAAATAGTGGTGTTTGAGGTGGTTTCCCCACCCACTTTCTAATAGCACCACGTGATCTGACCAAGGAGGATGGTATACACTGTTACTGAGCATCAATGACGGAGGGAATGAGTGTTTGTGGAAATGATGCCAATCAAATGAGCTACTTTGTCCTTTGTTGTTCGAGCAGCACTCAACCAGGGAAGTGGGGAATATTCTGTAACACTCCTGACTTGTGCCTTCGTAGATGGTTGACAGGCTTTGGAGAACTAGGTGGTTAGTTACTCACTGCAGTCTCTGACCTTATCCTGTATCCGTAATATTTATATAGCTAGGCTAGTTCGGTTTCTAGTTAATGGTAAACTGCAGGACATTGCTGGTAGGGAATGGTAATATTACCAGTGATGGTAATTGGACACAAATGCTTCAGTATCTGAGGAATCACCAAGAATGCTCAACATTTTGCAATCATTAGGAAAATTCCACATCTTCTATCTTCATGATTGAAGCATGTTTATTTATGAAGCAGCCGAAGATGGTTGGGCTGATGACACTACTGAGGAACTTGAAGCCTATGTGATACAGTGGTACCATTAACGTTTTTGAGAAGATCTGTAGCTTGGGTTGTGGACGAGATTGTAAATCGAGACAGATAAATAACAAGCGGGACAGAACACCAACGCTTCACCAAGGCGCACTGACAATGTTACCTAGCAGGGTGATGAAACATCTGCAACCAAACACACCGGCTTGGCAAGCAAGTCTGCAGTGGTAGCATCCCTACCTCTGAGCCAAGAGATCTGGTTTCAAGACCCACCTGCTCCAGAGGTGTGTAATAACATCTCTGAAAAGGTTGACTAAAAAAAATCTATCCTAAGGAACTCCTGCAGAGATGACTGACCTCCAACAAGCACAGCCATAGAATCCATACAGTTTGGAAACTGGCCCTTCGGCCCAACAAGTCCACACCGGCCCTCAGAGAATCCCACCCAGACCCATTCCCCAAACCCACCTAATCTACACATCCCTGAACACTACGGGCATTTATCATGGCCAATCCACCTAGTCTGCACATCTTTGGACTGTGGGGGGAAACCGGAGCACCTGGAGGGTACCCATGCAGATACGGGGAGAATGTGCGGAGTTTGCACAGACAGTTGCTTGAGTGGGAATCAAACCCAGGCCCCTGGCACTGTGAGGCAGCAGTGCTAACCACTGAGCCACCGTGCCGCCCCAAATCTTCCTTTATGCTAGGCATGACACCAACCCGCAAAGAATTTTTCTTCATTGCCAATAACTCTAATTTTGCTTGGGTCCCCCGATGTCACACTTTGTTAAATATGGCCTTGATGTCAAGGGCAGTTGCTCTCACCTCAGCTGTGGAATTCAGCTCTTTTGTCCATGCTTGAACCAAGACTGTAATAAGGTCACGAGCTGACTGGCCCTGGCAGAACTAAAACCAAGTTTCAGTGATTAGGTTAAAGTTAAGCAAGTGCTGCTTTATGGCATTGTTGATGACACCTTCCATCAATTTACCTAACAATTATTAATCTCCTTGAAAGTTCCATTCTTGCAGCATTTATCACATTTTGAGGGAAAGAATTCTGGATTTCTATTAACATAATTGCTTCCTGACTTCTCTTTTAAATGACCTTGCTCTAATTTCAAAATTATGTCCCCTCTTGATTTTCCACACCAGAGGAAAGTTACTGTGTATCTACTCTATTGAAACCCTTTATTAATTTAAATGCTTCAATGTGTTTTATCCCCATCATGTTTGTGGATTTTTTTAAAATCTTCTGGTAAACTGGATACCCAAGTGCTAAGTCATTGATATACAGAAGTTTTAATTCATGAATGGGAACTACATAACTTGTTTAGGTTAGCATTTGGCAAGGATGGCAATTTGACATGTTTAATAATGAGATTTAAGAGTCATTTGTGAAATCTAGTTCTGAACTTTCAAAACCCCAAAATGTGAGATGATTCAGAACTGGATTTACGAAAAAAATCACTGGGATTGCTGTCTTAAATGTAACGAATTCACATCATGGGATGGATTTCATATTCATCTATTCCTGTTGAGGATCCCACTTGTGCTACTTAGCTCTAATCAAGAACTAAAAGCAATCTGCATTATTTTGTTCTATAGCAGTGAAAAACAGGAGAGTGACAAGATAAGTGAGCCTTCAGAAATTATCAAACCAGTGGAAGCAGATGAGGAAAAAATTATTCAGAACAGGGATGAAGGTGAAGAGAATGGAGAACAAGAAGACGATTCCTTACTCTGACAATCAAAATAATCTTGACACTTGTGTAAGAAATTCAACCTGTGAATAGTACTAATAGCTCTAGCCTTCACTTAAAAGAAAGGCAGCAATAAATTATCGATTTCTACTTTAGGTTTACAATTGCAAACCTGTGGTTTGATGTAGACATGTTAGTAAGCATAATATGAGCCAATTACAATATACACTGTACCTTGGAAACACATCATTTCAGAATTCAAGCACATATACCTCTTAAAATAACTGAAATAGCATTGACAAACTATTTGAATTTAATTTTGATAAGTTTAATGTATTTTTTTCACAAGGTATGTCTATGTCCGTTAGTACTTTAATGAAACGTTTTGCATTTGACGTGTTTGAAGGGCATCAAGTACTTGAGCAAAGGACACCCCTGCTGGGTATGGAAATACTAATAAGCTAGGAAATAAAGCACACTGTCTTTTGGAAAGAGGCTATTCAGCTTGGTAAGCCAGCTAATTATAAGAACTATCCAAATCTTTTTAGTACTTTCCTACTTTTCTCTTTCTTCCCTACCTCTACCCCCAACTCCCGTCGCCCTTCAAATTTCTCATGTCCTTAAAATAAATAAAAACATTCCAATTCTTTACATATCCTAATTGCATAATAGGTAACAGATCACTCTTTCGCACCTGTACTATTAAATAATGGTAAAAATAAATTTCTTAAGCTTAGAAAAAGCACACTAAAAATCAGTAATTCCCTATTCTATTATCCTGTAACTGAAGAAGCAAAGGAACTGCCCTTTTACACATTCAGCAGTCACATCTGTAAGGATTTTAGTTGACTATCAGCATCAAGATGATGCATGTTCTGGAATGTTATCATTTTGCCATTAATAAGCATTGTCACATTGTCAATGCTAACAGGCTGGACAAACTAGAAACAGGGAGGATGTTTTCCCTGCTTGGATCACATTGGACTGGAAACTGTAATCCAAGATAGTGGCAGAGTAAATTCCTGAGCTAGAGCTCGATCACTCTGACTGCTTTTCTTTCTTCTTATCTCATGCTTTTCTTCCTTTTTTAAAGATCTTTAGTTTTTTTTCTCTACTTACCTTCTGGAGGGAGCTCAGTCATGGAGGCAGCGACGACAGCAGCTGGGGGCCCAGAGCAGGAGGCGGCTGGTATGCCTGGGCAGAACTCTGGCGATTGGTGACATTGCAGCTTCTTCAAGTCCAGAGCAGTACCAGAGCAGGACTCTGCAACTCTGCGTGGATAGGCCCTCACGCAAGGACTGGAGGCAAGGCCCTGTGTGGACTGTGGTGGAAGGATTGTAAAATTGTGTACTTTTTATTTGTTTATTTTTCTATTTTCATCCTCTGCTGGACTTTTTTTACTACTTAATTTTTCTACTTTATACCGAAGAATCTGTTCTTAATTATCTGTACATAAGATGGTGCCATAAGTGGTGACTCGTAAACTTTTCACTGTACTCATTTAAGTACATGTGACAATAAGGCTAATTCTAATTCTAAACTTGATGCTAGAATCAACACACATTGCAAAAGCTACAGTTTAGTCCAAGCTAAGCATGGTTGAAACAGCAACCCACCTGAACACCAGACTCTTCTACATCGAGATTTGGACATACCAGTAAGGAGAAATGGATGAATATTCTCCATTATATCTGAGACGTGTCCTCTGTATCTCCTGGTGGGACAAGTGAACACCTCCGTGATCAAACCAGTGAAGCTACAAAATAGGACTAAGTGATTCTAGAACCAATAGATCAGCTCAAAGCTCTGCAGTCCTGCTACATCTAGTCACGAGTGGTTAAATTAAACAACTCACTAGAGGAGGCAGTTCCACAACTAGCCCTATCTGCATAGGGGAAACCAGTATGTGTGTGCAACGATAAAGCTAAAGCATTTGCAACAATTTTCAGCAAGAAGTACCAAGTTGATGATTCATTTTGATCTCTTCAGTGGTACCCAGTATCTCAGATGTCAGTCTACAATCAATTTGGTTTGCTCTATGTGATATCAAAACAGCCTGTGAAGGCACAAGATACAAAAAAAGATTGTGGGTCTCTAACAATGTTACAGAAGGAGGACTGAAGATTTGTGCTCCAGAACTTGCCACACCCCTAGCTGAGGTGTTCCAGTACAGCTATAATACTGACATCTACCTGGCAATGTGGAAAATTCTCTAGGTATGTCCTGTACACAAAAAGCAGGGCAAATCAACCCCTGTCATCTAATTTTGCTTAACAATAAAGTGACAGGAGGAGTCATTAATAGCACAATCAAGCAGTATTTGTTTAGCCATTGGCACACAGATTGGATTCCACAATGGCTACTTATCTCATGACATCATTAGGATCTTGGTTCAGACAATGACAAACGCATGTAGGCTAGACCAGTTAAGGATGCTAGATTTTCTTCGCTAGAGGACATTAGTGAATCAGAGGGGCTTTTCTGATAATGGTCATCATTTAGACTCTTTTGTGAATTCAGATTTCACCATCTGCCATGGCAGGATTCAAACCCAGGTCCCCTCAACATTACCCGAGTGTCTGGATTAACAGTCCAGTGATAATACTGCTAGGCTCTCCCGCTGTCCACTATCAACAAAGCACAAGTCAGAGATGTAATGGAATATTCCCCATTTGCCAGTGACACTCCAAGAAGCTTGACACCATCCAGGCCAAAGCAGCTGCTTCATGGGCACCAGATTCACAAACTTTGACTTCCTCCACCATGGACACATTGGAGGAGCAGTTTGTTAATTTGCAAGAAACACTGCAAAAAAAAAAAAGGCTCCTTAGCATCTTTCAAACCTACAACTACCATCTTGAAGAATAAGGGCAGCAGATACGTGGGAGCATCACCACCTGCAAGTTACCCTCCGAACTATTCACCGTCCTGACTTAGAAGGACAAGAGCACATAATAGGAATACCATTGCATACTATCCTAGCTTGGAACTATATTGCCATTCCTTCTCGGTTACTGGGACAAAATAACAGCATGCTGGCGTACCTACACAAATGGACTGCAGTAGCTCAGAAGTCAGCTCACCACCAATATTTCAAGGGCAAGTAGAGATGGGAAATAAATGCTGACCTAACCAGCAAAAGTCACTAAATGGATTTTAAAACAGTCCTAAGCATAGAAAATATGCCATTTGAGACTGCATTGCCATTCAATAGGATCATGGCTGATCGTCCACCTCAGTACCTAGTTCCTGTTTTCTCCCCATATCTTTGATCCCTTTAGCCCTAAGAACTATTATCCTTCCTAAAGACATTCAATGTTTTGGCTTCAATCACGTTTTGTGACAGAGAATTCCACAGGCATACCACTCTCTGGATGAAGAAACTTTTTTCTCATCAGTCCTAAATATCCTACTCTATATCCTCCAACTGTGACCTCTGGTCTGGACTCCTCAGTTAGCGAGAACATGTTTCCTGCATTTACCCTGTTGCTCCTGTTAGAATTTTATAGGCTTTTATGAAATCCCCCTACACATTTTACTAAATGGCAGTAAATATAATCCTAACCAATTCAGTCTCTCTTCATATGTCAGTCTTGCCTTCCCAGGAGTCATTCTGGTAGAATCCCTCCATAGCCAGAATATCCTTCTTCAGATAAGGAGACCAAATCTGCACACAATACTGCAGTTGTGGCTTCACCACTGTAGCAAGACTTCCCTGCTCCTGTACTCAAATCCTGTCCCTATGAAGGCCAACATACCATTTGTCATCTTTACTGCCCACTGCACCTGCATGCTTACTTTCAGCAACTGGTGTACAAGACACCCAAGGTCTCATTGGACCTCCTCCTTTCCCAAACTATTGCCATTAAGACAACAATCAGCCTTCCTGTTTTTGCTATCAAAGTGGGTAACCTCACATTTATCCATGCATTTCATCGGCCTTGCATTTTCCCACTCAGGAAGTCCAAATCATACTGAAGCATCTTGGCATCCTTCCAGCTTGGTCTCATCTGCAAATTTGGAGGTATTACATTGATTTAGATGACAGAATTCAATATATTGTGAATAGCTGGAGTCCAAGCACTACTGATTCGTGCAGTACCCTACTAGTCACTGGCTGTCACTTGGAAAAGGAACAGTTTAATCTTACCTTTGGTTTTCTGTCCACGAATCCGTTCTCTATCCATGTCAGTACATTACCCTCAATCTAATGAGCTTTAGTTATAGATGCTAAAGATTTTAAGAGATGTTTCTCCTGCCTCTCTACACCTACAACAGACTACCCCTCAATCTCTTACAACTATATCACTCTCAGTTTCAGCACATTAATAAGTAAGTTTCTTCTCCTCTGGCTAATGTTTATGGAATCCAGCTGGGTTACTAATTATTAAGTTATGGACCCAGCAATTAATATTTGTATAAAATGTCCACATGGTAACTTTTTTTGCTGGTATTAAAAAGTGAATAACTATCCATTCAGGATGTTTAAAAAAATGTTTAACTTGAAAGATTCCACCCTTCATGTCAGTTAGGTTTTTGCTTTTCCAAAAAAAAAGCAATAAAAAAACTTCATTGTTTTGCTGTGGGAACTGAATAGTAAAGTTTAAAATGAGTCCATTTCACAAATAAGTCAGATGCTGAAACAGTCAAGTGCAAGTTTAAAAGAAAGTCTCAAATTATAATCTTTGTACACAACCAGATTGAGATAAAAATGTTCGATTGTGAGAGGTAATACATCCTACCTGTTTGCCTTTACTACTTTGTACTTTTTGTTCTCCTTCAACTATGAGACTCTAGCCACAGAAGTAACATTCTCTCTGCACTCTATATTTGTATAGTACCCTTGATATAGTAAAACATCGCAAGGCACTTTGCCGGAGCTTTGATCAAGGAAAATCCCATCACAGTCAAATTCAATAATTCCACCTCTTTACTGCCAGAAGATGGCACTTTTTTCCCCTCCTCAAAAGTCTCCAAATTTTACTTCAGAAAGTTACTTCCCCAGTTAGAAAAAAATTATTCGGTTGTGCCACAGCAAGATCTTTGAACCGATTTGCCATTCCTTACTTTAATTGGTTTCATGTGATGTTTCTGTACATTGTGTATGTTTGGATCCAACTTTTAACTGGAAAATGTATTCGTTTTATAATTGAACTAGATTGATGGTCACATGAACTCTTGTGCATGTCATAACTGTGGTCCATATTTTCACCTTTGTGCTATCTTAGAAGCTCTCTAAATCAGTCCTTGCTACAGAATGCAGAAAAGTCAAAACTACAGTTATGTTCTTAAACATCAAATGTTTTGCCTGTTGGTCTTGTTGCTGCAATTGAGATTTTTTTTAAAATTTCTCTTGAAAAATAATATTATACATATTTTATTGGGATATTCACTATGTAAATTGATGTCCACTCCTTGTTTTCTATGGTGTATGCGAATTGCATATCATAAATTTTGATTAAAAGTCTGTTAATATTACTCAATTTGGATCCTAATAACATTTTCACAAATTTAGAATCTTTATTTTTGCAGTAATATATGATCAGCTGGCAAGTGCACAGAATGGAGCAACCTTTATGTGGATAATTATTATTCTCATCAGTTGTTCCGGTGTCTGTCTCACACTTGTTCACTTAAGTTCAGTTGTGCTAAGTTTTACAGAACTTTTCACTCTGAAAAGCAAATACCATTCTATCTCTATAAATAAAATTATCTTGTCATGGTCTGTTTTCAGTCATTATTTCTTCTTAAAAGAGATTAGCTTCTGGTAACCATGTGCTCATAACATGCATTACAAAGAACCAATTCCTCTTCCTACTAGGTATTCTCACGGGTGATCAAGAGTCCCCTGGACTAGACCCACTTCCTTTCACTTAACCTAAATGTTGTTATTACTGAGACAACCGTGCTCCTTTCCAGCTCCCAAGACAGCCTTTTCACAGTTTCCAAACCATGACTCCTGCTTAATCCTTGACCCAGTTTCTACTCATCCCGCATAGGGAACAGATGGAGATGTAGCTAATTATCCCTGTTCACTTCCCTTAATTAAGAGAATGTGGATGCTAGTTTAAAATGAAAGTGGAACAGTGCTCCAATGATTCTACATTCTATGACAGGATAAAGCTACACATCTCCAAAGCCAGACTCAAGTATAATTAATTTTTTAAAAAGCCAAATACTTCCACAGAGAGACAGGGAAAAACAATACAGTAACTGACGGACAAGGTATTCAATTCTTATGGAGGCAAAACACCCCCAGTGCCCACTTAAGGGAAGTGTTTGTGTTTAAATTTGGCAATTCTCCTGTGGCTCCTGTTAAGGAGTTGCATTAGCAGACACCCAGGGGACTCTGCACACTTGGGGAAAATAAGTAAAACAAGAAAAGGAATGTCATATAAAATCAGGAATTGTTTTCCTTTATGTGCTCTAGTGCAGTACTGCAGTTCGGAAGCAATACATTTCTAGTGCTCACAAGCTGTTTGTTGCTAATTGATATGCCAAAGTTGATTTCAGTAACAAGTATCATTCAACAGCAGAAACAGGGCACACTTTGACTCAATATACCTTGGACATCATCTACAATTCTGTATGTGGTATTACAAACATAGCCTGTATCAGAATTACAAGGCAGTCACAGAAAACATAACATAGCAGTGGGGCTTTCGGCCCTCTGATCGACCCTGCCTTGCCTCTTCTTTCTTCTCTCCCCCCCCACAACAATGTGATAAGAATTTTTGCCTGAACCACCTTTCAGGCAATGAGAGTCAGGCCCTATCACCCAATAGCTGAAAAAATGTTTAATTTCCCCTCTAATCTTTCCATTACTTTACCTAGATTTAAATAGGTCATCCCAATTTACACACCGCCTTCAGTTTTACACACCTCAATTAAACCACCCATCAAACTTCTCAAGATGTGATCTAAATCATTGTTCAAGAATAACTTCCCTGCTCTGACATGCAATGCCTCAGCTAATAAAGGAAAGCATAGCCTGTGCCTTCTTAACCACTTTTATTAACCTGTCTGCTACCTTTAAAGTTCTGTGGACATATACTCCAAACTTCCTCAATTTATCCACACTATTTAGTAACATCGCATTTATGTTTTTCTTCACCTGTCAAAATGGATTTCACATTTCTCCAGACTGAATTCCATTTTCCACTTTCTGTCAACTGACCAGACAATCCATACTTTTGTGCAGCCTACAGCTTTTTTGGTCAGTACCAATTTGTATCATCTGCAAACATTCTTGAACGTTCCCACAATATCTGAAACCAATTCATTAGTATAAACCACAAAGAACAAGGGATCAGTACTGAGTCCTGTGGAACCTCACCAGTAACAGCCTCTCAATCACAAAAACACAAACTACAATCTGTCTCCTGGTACTAAACTAATTTTGGATCCCAGTCTGAGGGTCACTTGACCTGAAACGTTCCATCTGCTTTCTCTCCACAGATACTGCCAGACCTGCTGAGCAACTTTCCAGCAATTTCTGTTTTGTTTCTAATTTTGGATCCAATCTGCCAGATTCCCTCCAGCCTGTCATGTGAAACCTTTTCAAATGCCTTGCTAAAATCTATATAGACCACATCAACCCATTTTGGTAACCTTCTCAAAAATTTCAAATCAAGTTCATGAGAACTTGCTTTCCTGTGAACTCAGTTTCCTGATTAATTGCTTCCAAAAACAGGGTTGTAGTGTATCTCAGAATTGATTCCAATCATTTGTCAACAACCAAAATTCAGCTGCCATTATTAATAATTACTCAAATTATTAACATTCAGTTACCATCACTGTTACCCCACTGTCAACATCACTATTGAGTGAACTAGACCAACCACATTAAAAAATGTGACTGCAAGAGCAGATCAGAAATTGAGAATTCTGAGGAAAGTATTTCACTTCCAGACTCCTCAATGCCCATTTCCCATCATCAAGGCACAAGTCAGGAGTGTGATAGAATATTCTCTACTTGCCTGAAAGTGTATGCAGCTCATCTGCCGCTGACACATAGTGGCAGATGTGTGTACATTCTACAAGATGCAATGCAGCAAGAAACCATGATTTCTTCAAAAGCACCTTCTAACCTACAACTTCAACCACCTAGGGCAACAGCAGATGCATGGGACCATCACCAACTGCAGGTAACCCTCCAATCCATCTTGACTTGGAACTACTGTGCATTTGTAATTTCTTTACCATTATTGGATCAATATAAAACAGCAAAATATTGCTACAATTGTACAGGGCATTAGTGAGACCACACCTAGAGTATTGCATACAGTTTCGATTCCTTTATTTGAGAGGGATATAGTCGCTTTGGACACAATTTAAAGTTCCAGAGACATGAGGCTTGTCTTCTGAAGACAGATTGGGCAGTTTAGGCCTATGCTCTTCGGAGTTTCGAAGAATGAGAGGAGATCTTATTGAAATGTAAGATGCTAAAAGGGACAAAGTAAACACAGAGGATGCTTCCTCATAGAGTCATAGTCATAAAGTCAAAGAATCATACAGCATGGAAACAGACCCTTTGGTCCAAACAGTCCATGCTGAACAAAATCCCAAACTAAACCAGCCCCACCTGCCTGCTCCTGGCCCATATCCCTCCAAATCTATTCTATTCATCTACTTATCCAATGTCTTTTAAACGTTGTAATTGTACCTGCACCCACCACTTCGTCAGGAAGTTAATTCCACATACGAACTACCCTGCATATAAAGAGTTTGCCGCTCGTCTTTTTTAAAATCTCTCTCCTCTCACCTTAAAACGTGCTCTCTAGTCTTGAAATCCCCATCCTAGGGAGAAGACAACTACCATTAATTCTATCTATACCCATCATTATTTTATAAACTTCTATCAGTTTGTCTCTCAACCTCCTATGCTCCAGTGAAAGAAGTCACAGCCTATCCAGCCTTTCTTTATAACTCAAATCTTCCAAACCCAGCAACATTCTGGTAAATCTCACCTCAACCCTCTCCAGGTTGAAAATATCCTTCCTATATCTGGGCAACCAGAACTGGACAGTATTCCAGTAGAGGCCTCAACATGACTTCCCAACTCCTATACTCAAAGGACTGAGCAAATGTAGGGCAATCTAGACCAAGTGGTCAGTTTTAAGATATGTTCAAGACAGAGAGGAGGAAAAATTACTTCTCTCAAAGGGTCGTGAATCTGAAATTCACGACTGCAGTGTGCACTCAAGGGGCTGAATTGCCTACCCATGCTCCTAGTTCTTAGGTTATATCAAACTTTATACTTTTTAACCTTCAAAAATTAAGACTTATTAATTGAAGTGTTGTTCTTTAAATCTCTGCTAACATTAGTCCTAGCTTTGTTGCACTGCAAACCATTGGTATGTACGGATCCCAGATTTAAGCATAATGCCCAAAAATATAAAGCTCAGCTGCTGGCACCATCTCTCTGGACACATATTCATCTCTTCTATCCTCCTATTTCTGCATTCACTAGTACATGGTACCATTAGTTACCCTGAGATTATGACTTTTGAAGTCTTAATGTCTTTCCTCATTCCTGAAAATCTACCTGAAGGACCTCAACCTTTTCTACTCATCGATATGGACCATGACCTCAGACTGTTCACCATCCCTCCTCCAAAATGTCCTGCTCTCTGTGGTCTATCTGGCAGTCACCAACTCTCCTTCTTAAGCTTTGGAGCGGCCATCTCCTCAATCATGTTTTCCATCACACACGACAGATCGATGAAGGTTGTAAGTATAGAGGACAATAGCTTGAATTCCAATCGTAATTTCATTGGGAATTAGGGTGACCAAATCTGGATTCTCAAACTACAGAAAGACATTGCGCACTTCTAAAGTGGTCATTACGGACCAAGTTTCATGTGAAAACGTTGGCTAGAGCAGAGGGTCACAGTGAAGCAGTATGGACAGGCAGTTTGTAGCTTCTGTTGCTCATTGGTCTAAGCAGAGCTACACATTCATAGCCAGAGAGGTGCTTGAGCAGTGAACCATGAGGGAGGATAAAGTAACACAGCCAGACCTCCTGCCTGTGCCTGTTAAAACTCCACAAACACACAGCCTTCTAATACTAAATCATCTATACTTCCACAAATTATACTTTAGCCCAGTATAGGGTCACAACATATGGTGTTAAAAGAAAATTTCATAATTAATATTAAAAACTCATACACAAACATTTCTAATTTATGGTTTATTAAAAATGGACATTAGTACCCTTAAACGCAAAACACTCTGCTTCAAAAGCCTAATGCGGAAAAATGCCGTGTCTTTGTTCATTGATATAATCATCCATCACTGAGAACAGCAAGGCCTCTTGAAATAGATGCCAGAAAAGCAAATTGAACTAAAACAAAATTGAAGACTCAAAAGAAATTAGGCATGAGCAAAGAGCCAAAAATAAGTTCAATGCTGCTTTTTACTGGCAATATTGCCTGAAACTCCGTGCAAAATTCCCTAATATGGAATATCGCACCTTGAAATACGTAATGACTGATACTGTAGAGGGTCATAACCACCTCAGTTGCAAGGCAAGGTTTGCAACGCTTTCTGACATCTCCATTACTGGTGCACTATATATATATTTTTCATATATATATATTTTACAATAATATTTCTAAATTCTGCAGTGCCACATTCAAAGACATTACATGAGCATTTGACCCAAACCAAAATCTTTTTGCATTTCTAATTTGCCCTCCAGTACTGGGAAGAGGCAATTCCATG